TAGAATGAACCTTTCGGTATGGTGGACTAGAAAAAGCTACATCGTTGACATGCCACGACTTTTCTTTAGTCTAATAAGCCAAAATATGTTAAATAAATAATTTTATGTATAATAATTGTTAATTGTAAATTAATGGATGTTATTAATTTGCTTGTGTAAATTTGGAGTTTAGCTGAGCTACAGCACGATAGCGCCACAACGTGACCATAATAGCTTGGAATAGCCAAAAACAGAGTGCACATTTCAGCAAGTACTTTGTAACAAATGGAATTGCAGTGTGATTTGCTTCATCTTCATAATAACTAAATAATATTACTCAAAAGTTGCAAGGCAAACGTGTTCTAAAAGGAAATTTTTTTTTTCCTGTCAATACATAGAAATAAAAAACCAAGACACCAACAATTGATACCAAGAGCAATGAAGTAGCTACAGTTTGACTCAACAATTGATACCAAGAGAAGCCAAGCCACCGATATTTTAACATAGAAGAGGACCTCCCACTTCCTCTGAGGTGAAGGAAGAAAAAAGGAGAGGAATACAATGACGATGCAACGTAATAGCCTCACAATATAGAGCAGGCCTTTTGAACCCGTCCCTTCTTTTTCTTCTGCTTTGGCGGCTGGAGCACAACCTTAATTGCAGCGTCAAAAACTCCTTTCACGTTCTGCAGTGAGCACGTTTCAACAAATTTCAATTTGAGGCTTATAAAGTCTTCCGGGAGGGGTGGGGTGGGGGGGGGGGGGTAAAACGTGATGTCCATGCATACAAACCAGCTGTGTTTTTGAACTACATTCAATATAAGCAGGTGCCCCAATCATTTTACTGAGCTCCTCCCCCTGCAAGTTGTAAGGGACATATTAAATGTTTCGAATGAAAGAGAGTCTTCTCCCACTGGAAATCATAAAATGTAGTGATCTGACTTCACCTGAGCTGTAGTGATTGGTACAGCACCAGGATGGTCAACGAAGAATTGTTTGTCATCTCGAAGATCTGAATGCATCGGATAGAAACATCATATTAAAAATCATAAATTATGTCCACGAGGAATTAAAGAGAACAATCAGGACGTCAATCAAACATAGAGAATTCATGCAAGAATTCTAAATCAAGAGCCAGTGACCAAGTACTTTTGCACATACTTATTAACAAATTAAGATCCAGAATCTCTTCCTCCTGTTAAGTTACAGCTTCTGGTGCATGAATAAAAAGATTATAGACCAAACAAGAAATATATAGTATGGAATGATCATTTACAAAGCCATGTGAAAATCTATGTAGAAGCACAAAGGAAAATGGCAACGAATACAAATATGGTAATGGTAAAATGATCCTTATTACTTTCATCGGGTTGTTTCATTTCAATCTAATATAAAAAGTCTATTTGAAATAAATATAAAAAGTATTGGAAACAAAATCAATTTAACTAAATAGGACTGGGAAGTGAAGCATTTTTGGCAGCCTTAATGTTTCTGTATATAAAGACCTTCCCATTACCATTACCCAAAGTCCTCAGGTTTTTGGGGTTAGGGACTTGGGGTTAATAGGGGGCGAGGTGAGAGTTGAAATTGTTCCCCCTTTAAAATGGGTGGTTTCCATAGAATAAAATAAAGTATATAACATAATATTTCAACAACAAATCATGCTGATATGGTTCAGTAGCTAAAAGAAAATCAAGTCACTTAAATATCTCACCGAGCTTTGTTCCCACAAGAACTATAGGGACACCAGGAGCATAATGCTTCAACTCAGGAATCCACTGAAAAGTGAAAAAAAAAACACAAGAGAGTGGGAATCTCTTGCTAATCCTTGTAAGAAAGTGGGAACCAAAAAGAAATTTTTATTTTTTTTTTAGCAGTCAATTCTCACCTTCTTGGAAACATTTTCATAGCTTGCCTTGCTAATGAGAGAAAACGCCAAAATGAAAACATCAGCTCCACGATAACTCAAAGGTCTTAATCTGTTATAGTCCTCCTGTCCTGTTTCACATAACAATTTAAGGTTCCTAAAGGTATATACTGAGATAAATATGCATTTAAGATCTAAGTTTGCAATAACAAAGCATGCACAGATTCGAAAAGCTTGACAGTACAGAAATTATGTAAAATAATTTTAGAGGTTACCTACCAGCAGTATCCCAGAGGCCTAGGTTAACAGTGCTTCCATTGACGACGACATTTGCGCTGAAATTATCAAATACAGTAGGTACATAGTCCTGTTTCATTTAAAAATACAAAAGAAAAAGTTAAAACTGATAATTCATTCAGGAAAGAATACAATTTATCATTAACAGAAGATCAGTGAAACTACAACAAATCCAAGGCAAGTTCAAAATACAGACTTGAAGCATGATAACATGACAATCACCACATCTGCAACTATTTCTAGAAGAGAAAATCCCTTACAGAATGCAAAAACTGCTATAGTTGTATCACAGGTAAGAATCAGTAAACAGGACAAAAATAGATGAAAAAGTTCACATCGGAAACAAAATCCAAACATATATAGAATCTTTCAATTTTAAAAATCATATTTATCAATAAAAAGACCACATTGTCATTTGCAGAAAGTTAATTATACATATAGTAAATGAGTTCATTCAATAAACAAAAATGGGGATTGTTCATGGACTTTTTCTTCCGTTTCTAAATATATCTTCATTTGAGTAGCTACGATATTTATTCATTGTCAGTTAGAAAAATTTGTAGATAATTCATATTTTTATTGCTAGAGAAAGGGAAGATTTTTACCAGTCATTGCGAGTTCCGTGAAAAACAATTTATTCCATTAACAAAATAAATACATAGATAACATAATTCTATACATATCCAATAATTGCAGATGACATTCTTTTTCTTTTTCATCACGCATAATTCCCATAAAAAAAATCATGATATCTGATAAAACATATAAATATATAGAAATGTGTTTCTTTTCTTCAAATTTTTTTTTTCTCGTAATACATACCAGAAATTCTTCCATGGGATGAAACATTCTTAACTGACAATGAATGAAGAGGTAACATAAAAAAGATATATTCATCTCAACCCCAAACGAAAAAAGGGAAGAATTCCATACACTAGTCAAGATATGAAAATGCAACAATCAACACTTAACAAAAAGCAAAAGATCCAAATGATTAAATCAATTTCAACATGTGCCAAAAACAAATTACAAGATTTCACCTTAAAATGCAAATTTTCGAATATCGCGGAAAGGGAATAAAAATTCATTATTAGAATTAAAAATGGATGGAATGGAGACAGAAACAGACCGTGGGGAAAGTATTGCTGGTGTAGGAAATCAAAAGACAAGTCTTGCCAACCGCACCATCACCCACAGTAACGCACTTTATGAATCTCGAAGCGCTCATTTTTTACTTTTCACAAATTACGCTCTCAGATCTTCTCCAGAAGACCTGATAAGCTAACAAATTCAAAACTATATTATGCAATGTACTGCGCGTCCCTTCACCTCAACTGTGGCACCAGAAAACCTGTAAACAACACACAAACAAGAAACCAAAATTCTTTTATCAGAGAAACCCTAACCCTAAGTGAAAACTTGGGTAAAAAATTCTGAAAGGTAAAGAAGAACGAGAATGTGAATTGGGAGTGCGGAGAAAATGGAGGAGTGCAATGAAGTGAGAGAGAGACAGAGAGAAATAAATGGGAGAGAGAAATGCACGTAAATGTGTGTTGTACGTATGTGCAATGAATGTGTACCTATTTAGCCGGGAAATACTGCCTTTGAAGCGTTCTCTTTCGCCAGTTAGAATGGGTGAGGGATGACCAAGTTTCATACCAATTTGTACTTTAATTATTTTCTACATCGTATGAGGGTGGATCTAGAGAGAGGGGATGGCGAGACGGGATCGTGGCCGGAGGCGAGTAGGGTGGCCCTCTTGTCCTCTGTCTTTCGTCTAGTCGGGAATTTTTAGAAGGCAGAACATGGACTCGACGAGAGCATGACTTGAAGGGAATTAAAATGTTTATGGTTCCATTTACTTTTATATGTATTTTTGTATATGCAATTTAAATTTAAAAGCATAAAAAATAAGGTTCAAGGCGGGATCAAATTTCTTGGTCTTGAACGAATCACTTACCCCATGTGAGAGTGAACAACTCGACTCGCTCTAAAGACGACTTGTAAAATGAGTCGAGCACAAAAATTTTCATACTTGCCGGATCGCGAACCACACGAATTGACTCGCTAAGTAGCTCGTTGGTCGCGAGCCCTTTAAATGGCTCCTCATTAGGTGCTACAAAAGCTGCTGATTTTGAGCTAATTTGAAGGCGCATGCCCTTGCAGATGCCATCAAATGATATTTAGGCATTTAAATTTCAAAACTTATTTCCACTTTTTTTTTCCTTAAATAACGGATGAAAAATGTTACTATAAAAAATTCATTGGGCGAGCGGCAAGGCCCTCTGCAGACAGTCTGAGCTCAATAATTTTTTCTAAGAAAACTAGCTCGTGTTCAATTCGATCCATTGACATCACGATACTAATGCACTTCTCTACATGTGCTAAGAGTTTTGTGACTTCTTACGAGATTGATTTCATTAAAGAATTGAAAATTAACCTTAATCTTAGTCCATGAGCGAGTTAATAGTCAACGTTACATAATCGAGATTAGGTACATCCAATGCCTCCACGTTGAAATGTAGAATGTACTCCCTTAACATCTATCCTTCACTACTTAGCTACTATCAATTATCCAGTGATTTCCTTGGATATTTTTCTACTAGCAAAGCAATAGGAAAATATGACTGAAGAATTGGTCGAAACTTCAAAAAAATGAGTGGGAAGGAAGGAGAACAACCCATGGGTGGTGCCCTTAAGAGTGGTTAGAAACACTACGCAAGTGACCAGGTCCAAGAATCCATACAACACACTACTCTCGAATATCTCCAATTACTCTCAATAATATATTGTTAGTCAATGCAGTTCAAACCTTTTTACGAAAGGGCTCCTTTAGAATCTCCTCGGAAAAAAAAAAAGGTTTCATTCCTCTCCCTTCTCAATATCCATTAGATTGTGATATTTTTGTTAAGTTGTGGAGCATAATTATTGAAGTTACTATTTATCGTCGAATCGACCTCCTCGGGAGTGCACCCTTGGACCCAAGTTTCATTAGGGACTGTTCAGGAATTTGCATTCTTGTAAAATTCTATCAAAAAATTGGAGTCATTATAAAATTCGATTTTTCTCTAATTTATCTTATAAATAGGGAGTCATCCTTAAACTTTATCATTTATCATGAGAAAGAGAGAGGTAACAAAAGGTATGTGTGCGATTTTCGCTTGTAAACCTTTTTTTTTCATTATAGTGAATTACTGTAACGACGGGAGATGACATAATCTCATATTGAGGCGAATATCTTTAAATTTTGCATGTTCTTGACTGTATATATTTCTTTGTTCAAATTGATTGCTCTCAATGAAATATAATTACGATTTATAATTTTCAACAATCTTCAACGGTGATGGGTGCCATCAGGGGCGGACCAAGCACCTGGCGGCCGCCCGTGCTGGATCTGCCGGAACAAATTTTTTTTTTTGACAATGAATAAATTTTTTAGAAGATATACCTGGTAATTTGTTTTAGTTTCAAACATTTCTTGCAGCTCAATTGGATAGAGCTCCTATATTCATATAGGAAGTCTCGATTTTGATTCATTTCCCACCCCTTTTATTGTGAAAGATTTTTAATTCTTTAATTTTTATCAAAAGTAAATAGGACAAGGAGAGAAGAATCGAAATCTTGACCTCTCCTTAGGTTATTAAGAATTTGACCATTGTGGCATACATTGAATTTGAAACTAAACTAACTAGAATAATATATATTACATTTCAGCGGGTTTAATGTAATTCTAAAAATTTGATTACGTCTTCTTCCTTTGAATTATACAAAATATGGCTACAATATCATTTGGTGAATATTGCTAATTTTTATAACAAAATTATATATGTTCAATTTGAACAAAATAATTGTTATATTTAAATTTTAGACTTTGTTTGATTCTTTTTTTAAAAATATATTTTTCTTTCTTCTTTTAATCGCACATTTTTCAATAAAATAATATTACATTCAAATTCAAAATTTTTTATTATTTTTAACTACATATAGTCTCCACCAAATCATTATTCCAAAATACAATTTTTGCAAAAAAAAATGGGCATCAAACGGGGCTCTTAATATTTTATTGCTGACAACGGTCGATGATCCACAGTCGCCCGTGCTAACTCAAAATCATGGGTCCGTAGTACCACATTCTCTGGTAATTACATTTCTGTCCTATCTGATCATTTGAAGAACCAAATATTGCACGAAGCACGAGCCCTTTTTGATAAAATTCCGTCTCCTGATGTCCGTTTGTTCACAAAAATGATTCCTTGCTATGTAGAAAATTGTGGACTAGAAGAAGCATTGAAACTGTTCGATAAAATGTCTATTAAAGACATAGCCATGTGGAATTTAATGATAAAGGGGAGTATAGATTGTGGGAATTCTACATCTTGTTAATCCAGGAGGTGGAGGCTTCAGGCTGCGAAGTGGAGGCGGAGGATGGAGCTGTTTGAGGAGCGACGGAACGAGGTTTAAATTTTTGGGATTGGTCTGTAACTAAAAATAAATAATTTTGAAGCCCAGAAGTTCAGGGTGGGCACATACTGGGCTCCGCCCCTGCTTCTAGCTAAACATAGGATGGTGATGATGCACACTGGTTTCTCTAAATTGAACTCTAACCTGTTTGGAAGTTTTTTTTTTCACCAGTTTTGGGTGCTACCGTTTATGAGGGATTTGAAAAACCAGTGCTTGCTAGTTTTTTGGATACCGGTTTTAGATGGTTTAAAAATCACAAATTTTAGTCTTTATAAAATAATTATTTCCAATCAACATATTATGTTCAAAACTAAATTGTAAAGAAAAATATATTAACTAAAAATTTGTTTATCATTTAAAAAATTATATTATAATTAAAAATACTTATAAGTAAAATATTACTTGTAAGATAAGAAAAATTACATTATAATTAAAACTTACTTATAAGTAAAAAAATCACTTTTAAGTAAAAAATAGTTATAAAATAAAAATACTATTAATAAAACAAAAATTCGATTATAAAATATAAAAATATTACTTATAAGTAAAAAAATTCACTTAAAGTCATTTAAAAATATAAAATTTACTTGTAATTGTAAAATTTACTTATAAGTAAAAAAATATTAACTTAAAAATTTAAGTAAATACATAAATTAATTTATTTTTTTAAATTAAATGTTAACATATGTAAAAAATTTATCTAAAAGTAAAATATCACTTATGAGAAAAAAAATTGCATATAAAAATAAATTTTAATAAGGGATATATACGTAATTTTATTGTTTTAAAAAACTTTAGAACCAGTGAATAATAAACTCTCAAGCATAAATTGGACAGTTTTAAAAACTGTTATTAAAAACACTCAAAATCAATCCACTCACAAACGCTAGAAATCGATACTTTAAAAAATGCCCATAATTGGTACGGCAAAACTCGCAAGAAGCGGACCCTAAATGTTATACTTTTATTTCCGACCATCTACTTTTTCGATTCATGCGGATAGCGGCAATATACGATTAATTGAGTACCCAAACTTAAAAAAACACTTTTCTAGTCATTAAATAACTATACCACAATCTTAAAAACACATGTAAGAACTTTCAACACATAAAAAAACGTTGTCTTTTTACTATATTATATATGTTCAGTTTGAAAAAAATCATTATTATATTTAAATTTTAGATCTTGTTTGATTTTCCCTTTTTCAAAATACATTCTTTATTCTTTTCAACTACACATTTTTCAATAAAATAATATTACATTCAAATTCAAAAATTTTTATTATTTTTAACTACATATATCATTATTCCAAAATACAATTTTTGCAAAAAAAAAAAAAAAGGGCATCAAATGGGGCTCTTAATATTTGATTGCTGACAACGGTCGATGATCCACGGTCGCCCGTGCTAACTCAAAATCCTGGGTCCGTAGTTCGACATTCTCGGGTAATTACATTTCTGTCCTATCTGATCATTTGAAGAACCAAATATTGCACGAAGCACGAGCCCTTTTTGATAAAATTCCGTCTCCTGATGTGCGTTTGTTCACAAAAATGATTTCTTGCTATGTAGAAAATTGTAGACTAGAAGAAGCATTGAAACTGTTCGATAAAATGTCAATTAAAGACACAGCCATGTGGAATTTAATGATAAAGGGGAGTATAGATTGTGGGAATTCTACATCTTGTTAATCCAGGAGGTGGAGGCTTCAGGCAGCTCCGCGGGAGCGAAGGACGAAGCTGTTTGAGGAGCGACGGAACGAGGTTTAAATTTTTGGGATTGGTCTGGACCTAGACTTGGGCCTTAGGGTATAATATATTGGTATTTTTGGGATTTCTCTCTCGGGCTGGGACTTGGACTATAACTAAAAATAAATAATTTCGAAGCCCAGAAGTTTAGGGTGGGCACATACTGGGCTCCGCCCCTGCTTCTAGCTAAACATAGGACGGTGATGATGCACTGGTTTCTCTAAATTGAACTCTAACCTATTTGGAAGTTTTTTTTTTTCACCAGTTTTGGGTGCTGCCGTTTATGAGGGATTTGAAAAACCAGTGCTTGCTAGTTTTTTGGATACCGGTTTTAGATGGTTTAAAAATCACAAATTTTACTCTTTATAAAATAATTATTTCCAATCAACCTATTCTGTTCAAAACTAAATTGTAAAGAAAAATATATTAACTAAAAAATTGTTTATCATTTAAAAAATTATATTATAATTANTTTTCACAATTAACTTAAATAAAAATATATTAACAAAAAAATTATTTATAAGCAAAAATATTACATTATAATTAAAATATTACCTATAAGATAAGAAAAATTACATTATAATTAAAACTTACTTATAAGTAAAAAAATCACTTTTAAGTAAAAAATAGTTATAAAATAAAAATACTACTAATAAAACAAAAATTCAATTATAAAATATAAAAATGTTACTTATAAGTAAAAAAATTCACTTAAAGTCATTTAAAAAGATAAAATTTACTTATAAGTAAAAAATATTAACTTAAAAATTTAAGTAAATACATAAATTAATTTATTTTTTAAAATTAAATGTTAACATATGTAAAAAATTTATCTATAAGTAAAATATCACTTATGAGAAAAAAATTGCATATAAAAATAAATTTTAATAAGGGATATATACGTAATTTTATTGTTTTAAAAAACTTTAGAACCGGTGAATAATAAACTCTCAAGCATAGATTGGACAGTTTTAAAAACTGTTATTAAAAACACTCAAAACCAATCCACTCACAAACGCTAGAAATCGATACTTTAAAAAACGCCCATAATTGGTACGGTGAAACTCGCAAGAAGCGGACCCTAAAGGTTATACATTTATTTCCGACAATCTACTTTTTCGATTCATGCGGATAGCGGCAATATACGATTAATTGAGTACCCAAACTTAAAAAAACACTTTTCTAGTCATCAAATAACTATACCACAATCTTAATAACACATGTAAGAACTTTCAATACGTAAAAAAACGTTGTCTTTTTACTATGGTAAAACTAAAACCTATTTACTTGGACTAAATGAAATATAGGCAAGGCAAGAATTAGAGGAAAGTTAGGAAATCAAAAGACTAATCTCAGCCACGCAAATGCATTGCAGAAAAGCATTACCATTTCAAATACTTATAAATAAATTATAAGTAATTTTACCAACAAAATAAATAAATAAACAATTACAAATTATTCTTCGTCACTTTTGTGTCTTCCCCCCCAGCCTGATGCATCATTTTGCAGTTAAAAACAACCTTATTGATACAAATGCAGAGACAACCAAACTAGGTTTTAAAGGCAGTGATTCCACCCTTCTTCGTCCTAAGCCTCGTCGGCTCGGGTCAGCCCTGACTGAATATCTTAATCCTCTCAAATGCAGCAAGAACAGGTTAATTTAATGGGGGTAATCAAACTTATTTTTTGGGTTATTATAATTTATAAGGGTTTTTCTTTAATCTTATTTGTTTGTGCAATGTTATGAGCAGTAAGCCAAATTCTGATGCAAGAAGTGGAGTTCTATACATGCTTGCCGAAAAGGTTCTTTCTGATTATATCCATGTTAATTTTTGAACATCGAGCTTGGTGCTCGTGTTGTGCTCGGGTTTCTCAGACACCAACCAAGACGAGGCATGAGGAGCCCGAGTACCAACCTTGGACTTGATATTCGTGATGCTTGTTTATTTTAATATGTATAGTGACTTTATGTTAATGTTCGATGATATAGACAACAAATGGACGAGGATGCATGTGCACTGGGTGCTCACCCTCTTGTTACTCGGGATCTCCACCGACTAGGACAGACAATCCATTGGTTCATGATGTGCAGTTCGTGCATCAGACGGAGTTGTTTTCGCCTTTCACTCGAATAGAGTTAAACCGCCATTTTGCAGTTCGTGCAGTTCGTGCATCAGACGGTTCATGATGTAATTCTGTATTTAAACCGCCATTTTGCAAATATATATAGAAATTGTGCAAAATATTTTATTTTGCAAGTCACTGAACTTGTGCTTCACTTTTTAAGTGCATCACCAAATTTTGACTTGAGTGGGAACTGAAAGCCTTTGTTTTCAACATCTATAATATATTAAATATCACATCAAGTGAGAATCATTTTTTGGACGGTTTTAACACTACTACAATTCAATTATTTTAATAATAATTTACTTTTCGTTTTTTCAATATGTAATGAATACTACAAAATTCGTGTCATGTATGAATTTTTTGTTATTAATTCTCAATTAATTAACATTTAAATTAATCTAGATTCAATGAATCTTGACTTGATGAATCTTAATTTACACGAATCTAGAGCAAGAATCATTTTTTGGACGATTTTAACCCTACTACAATTCAATTATTTTAATAATAATTTACTTTTCGTTTTTCAATATGTAATAAATAATACAAAATTTGTGTCATGTATGAATTTGTGTTATTAATTCTCAATTAATTAACATTTAAATGAATCTTGACTTGATGAATCTTAATCTACATGAATATAGAGTGAGAATTATTTTTTGAACGGTTTTAATCCTACTACAAATCAATTATTTTAATAATAATTTAATTTTCTTTTTCAATATATAATAAATAATACAAAATTCGTGTCATGTATGAATTTTGTGTTATTAAATCTCAATTAATTAACATTTAAATTAACCTAAACTTAGGCCCTGTTTGGAAGATATTCTCAAAATTCTACAGTAAATCAATTCTCATTTTCAATCACACATTTTTCAATAAAATAATATTTTTCATCACATCAATAATTTTTTCTTATTTTTCAACCACACATTTCTCATCATATCACTATTCAAAAATCAATTCTTCCCCCAAAAATCCCTACCAAACAAGCACTATAATTCTCATTAATATTCTAATTAAATTTTAATTGTTCTTGAAGAGCAATTTAAGGACATGTTTGAGCCACATTATTTTTTTCATTCTCATTTTTAACCATACATTCTTCAATAAAATAATATTTTCTATCACATCAATAATTTTTCCTTATTTTTCAACCACACATTTCTCATCATATCACTATTCAAAATCAATTCTTCCCCCAAAAATCTCTCCCAAACAAGCACTTAATGATTTTTGACTTGTTGAATCTTAATTTACATGAATATAGAGTTATTATAGATTGATTTATTTCTATTCATGTATCTAAGAATTTTAATGAGTGTTTAAATTCATGTATTAACAATTAATTCTTGTGTACTAAATGTAGTATAAAAATATTGTTCATTTGTAGTATTTCACCATCACAACGAATTTGAATAATAGAAATTGAGTTTTGAGAGTACAATTTTATTCTCTTAAATTTATATCCTAAATTTATTTTCTCTAGTTCGTTTGAGACTTATCAAATCCTTTCAACAAATTGGTATACTTTTACAGCACTCATAAAATATTTCAGAATAACGTGCAATCAACTTTTACTAGTCTATAAAATGAGTCTACCTTGTATTATTCTTGTCCCAATTTGTAGAGAAATCTTGAAGCTTCTTTAACTTGCTTACTATAAACTCTCTGATTGTCAAACACAAAAAGTTCCTAAAAAATTATTCAATCGAGATAAAACATTAATTTCAACCACAAAATTATTAGACTTCAGGAGGTTTTATGATTAACATGTGTGAATTGAAGCAAGTCTCCAATAGGTGTCATGATTGTGTGCGACTCTTCAAGTGCAATGGGCGCGTCATGATCTTTAGATGTGGTGCAATCTGGACTGCCCAATCATGTCCCTACTTGAAATGGTATGACCTAATGGTCCAAATAGATTTGTACCAAAAGACGCAAGCATCCCTTTTATTTTGAGTTTTTGCTGTTGAAGCCAAATAGTATGTAAGAAAGGACAAGATTCTAGTGTTCTTTCAATCGAAAATGATGATTGATGGAAGATAGTCTTTCAATCTCCGAGATCCCAACTCCAGATATTCTTTTAATTCGAGGTGATTTTTCAGAGAAGTAGTTAATGTTGAAAGTGAAACTTGGGATCTCAAATTGATGATTTTTTTGGACCCTTTTCAGTTATACAATGGTCTTACATATAGACAATTATGTTAGTCCTTTTTTATGTCATTTGAATCATTAGGTGACAGTGATGATTAAGTGTCATTTTCAAGGCTTGTGAGGTTCGTGCATTTGTAACACGAATTATGCTAAGTGTACATTTCTAGATTTACTTCTTCTTTGACATTGTGTGAAAATTCAAAAAGTGTTGTGCAGGAAAGTGTATTTTTTTAAAACTTCCATCATGTGTCGACACGTAACACAATGTCCAAAAAGATGCAAACAGTATGTACATGTAGCATGATTGTTGTAACATTTGTCCAACAAATTCATATGTACACACATTAGTTTAGTGCAATGTAGTCCAGGCTAATTCTATTGGTGTTCCCACTAAAATTATCTTTAGCTTCAGGGCTGTCCGAGGCCTTAGGCTGAAGTCCTCAATCGAGGTCACTACTGTGTTTCTGCACAAGTATTGGTCTTTGGCTCCTAGGCTCGAGTAAGCTTTGCAATGCATACCTTTCGGATGGGTTGATCGAGGCGCAAGTGATTGGGAAAAGATACGTGGGCACACAATGGAGCCTTCAGGTGGCTGATATGGAGTCCATGTGGACAATAATTGTTTCAGCACATAACAACCACCATTCCGAATGGAACATTGGATTCTATAAATATGAGCCCCTAAATTCAGTTTCTTCACTCAAAATCCATTCAATTATATTGATTTCTAATTCATTCTTTCTCCAAATTATATCAAAATAATATTTAAATCATTTTCGGTTTTTAGCATTCGATATCGTACAGTCTTGAAAACTGCAATCAAGCTTTGTTTTGCTCGACAAAATTAGTATTATGATTATTAATTTGAAAGAAATGGTGTATCTTGGAAGACATATATCTTTTTTATTCTATTAGAATTAGTAGTGAAACCTGACAATCGTATACCTCGATTCATTTTATCTTATTCTAATTCTACATTTTTTGAACTACTTTATTTTACTCACTTTGCATGTCCTATAGTGGTTTGGTCAATCCAATCATTTGCATGTTAACTAGAAAAATGAAATATAAGGGGCCGTTCTCTTTGGTGTTTTCGGACCGTTTTCTGTTTTCGATTTTTCAAAACAGTGAAAACGCGTTCTCTTTCCCGTTTTCGAAAATGAATTTTTGAAAACAAAAAAAAATTTTGTACTAAAAACTCAAAACGGCTAAAAAGCCGTTTTGAGCGTTTTCTGTCCAAAAAAAGGAGGAAATGAAAACACGGGAAACGAGCTCGTTTTCTATTTTCCCCAACCTTCTCCTCTTCATCCATTGATTTCCATCACTACCGATCTCCAATCAAAAACTTCCA